TCCTACTAAAAGTATCTATTAAATGTTGAAACCCTTTCATCTACACATTTGTGTTTAAAATCTTAATGTTATGCTAAGTACATTAGGGAATGTCCATCTCAATCATCTCTTTATATGTACCAACTCATTTTTTATATATATTTTTTTTAATTGTTAATGTTATAATGATTTGAATGCTATGATAATGATTTGAAAATGTTTCATCAGAATCAAAGAGATTTGATGTCTTGCGTTGAAATAAAGACTTTTTTTAAATTCCACAATGCAACTTTGGTACATTTATAATTTGAGCCATGCACCTCAAAATATTGGCCAACAGATTATTTGCTTAAAATTTTTGTTACAAAGAACCACTAAGTGTCCTTATTAAGTTTTTTTACATTTTAATTTTTCATCTCTTTAAGAACTGCATTATTATAATGAGTATAACTGGTTTGGTTTTATTCTATATTTTGTAAGCAGCCCTTTTATTAGAGTTCTTCCATTAGTCTTGATCTGACAGTTTTTAAGAACTTGTAGTAACTTGTAGCGTAAATATGCATTGGCTTTGTCTGCATGATGATATTTTTATGAATACTTAGTGTAAAGAACTTTAATTTTTTTACAATGATCAGTGGGTTTATCTTAAAATATCTTTAGCCTGACCAACTGCCATTCAACCTACTGTTGTCATATAGAATTGTGTTAAATAAATGTTCAAAAAAAGTTTTGAAAAACATTTTGAAATGCAAATACTGGTACTTGCTTTCTATATAACTTGTATAATGAATTTTCTTAGTAGTTAAATATACACCACTAAATTGTCCGCCTGTTTGGATATATTTTGTACCAGTACCAGGTTTTAAATGTCGACGACTTACTGTGTGTACAAGGGACAACTTTGTTGCAGGCCCCATTAATCTTAAAGACAACCAAATTCAGTTGTATATATCTATCCCAGTGTATGATTTGCTCTGATTTTATTTCAAGACATATTTTTTATTTATTTATAACTATTGTCAAATTTGTCTGCTTATTTTCTTGTGATGTTAAATGTCATATAACTTACTTTAATGGCAAGGGATGAGAAGTCTAAGTCATAGTACCAACACGGCTCAACATTCATTGAATAAAATTGTCATGTCTCAAGTCTTAGTTAGTTTTGATAATATGGAATGGAAAACTTGTAATTTCAACAGGGTTACCAACTCTAGAAAATAAAATTTACTCATTCTTTCATTTTCTTAAAGGTCATCCTAAAGCTCAGATGGCCTTTTATGGACATGCCATTTTAGGTCAAATTTTTACTGGTTTTAATTTATGAACGGTCATCAAATGGTTTCAAACTTGCCTCATTTAGATGTACAATATTAAATCAACTTGAACATTTGTTTTCTAAAGATTTTACTTCTTTGTTTTCTTCTGTGGACCACACACCAAAACTATCATGAAAAAAATGTTTTGTTTGAGTATTTTTCTTTGAATTAAGTTGTAGAAATGTTGGACCAGTTGTAAATTTAGTTGAAAGTAAAAATTTGAATGAATGAAACTCTAATTATTGCTGCTCTACAAATGGAAGATGATGGGAATCAGACTTCAGTAGATGGGTGTTGCCCAAAAGTTCATTGATGGGAATCATGACTTCAGTAGATGGGTGTTGCCCAAAAGTTCATTGGAGATGTAAACTGTTACAACTTAAAACAAACAAGGAGTCCATATTATGTCAACATAGAGAAATTGATACAATGATAGTGTTTAACTCCTTGTGTATCTATCACTAACATATGCTGCTTGAGTTATCTATCGGTAACTTGAGATGCAGGTCTGAAGATTATCTCTTACATATATTTTGCTTCTGGTGTGGGTGCTTCCTTTTCACACCTGGCCCACCCCCTACTCAACATGTTTTATATTAACAGCAGTCGGTGAAAACTGTTGAACTCAGGTAAATAGGTTGAATTTTTTCGGAGCCACAGGCATGGTGTAGGACTGTCTGTAGGCCTATTGTTTAAAGGCCGACATAAGGTATAGAAATTGAGAAGTTAACTCTTTTTTTTGTTTTAACACTCGGACCCACCGGTTTAAAACAAAATTGCACCCTGTTAAGCCCCAATTTAATATATTCTTTTTGTGAAAGATTAATGATTATGATTAATTATCATGATTAATTATGATTAATTTGTTTGCATTACATATTTTGATTGTTAGCGCAGTGAAGCATTTTCCATAGAACACAGGCTGGGAACCTCTTTCATAGAGCTTATATGATTTTTGTTTCAAAGAAAGGCCATTCTTATATTTAACTTTTTGAGTGGATAGGATTAGGAGAGTCAAGAGCAGACTAATTGATTTTTCATATAATTCACATTCAAAGAAAGTTTTTTTAAAAGTATAATTAATCATGCAATTGTTGGAATCATTGTAATCCTGGGATTCATAACACTGTACATAATAAAAGGTTTATCTCAGATTTTGATAATTTTTTTCGGTGTTGCTTATAAAGAAATGTTGCCTCCTTTAAACTTGTTGCTTTAACAGAAGCTCATTTTATTAAAGCCCAAAATAGAGGACAGAAGCAGGGCGACTGTCCAGAGCATTAAATTTTGGAAGCAGCAGTAAATAAAAATCAATAGCTGAAATAGTTTTTGCCCAGAGTTGCAGAAGAGCTAGATCAGGCCTTCTCTTACATTGACATTGCAAGCCTTTGGTTCCTCTGTGCGATGTATGCAGTCAACATATTTGTGGACCCATGACAAAAAGAATACTCTCCTCTGGACAGTCACAAATCAAAAAGCTTTTCTTTGTAGGATAGTTGTACATTGGAAAAACTTTTGAATTATCCTTGGTTATCAACTTCGTTATTTGAAGACATAATGATATAAGCTTTTAACAAAAATTGTATGAACGGCTTGGTTTGACTCTATTAACTATTACCACAACAAAATTATCTTACAAGACACAGAAACTCAGTGTTTAAAGAATATAGAGGAATATTTTATTATCAAACATGTCGCATAAAATAAGAATCTACTAATTATTTTAGCTCAGTGTTTCTCAAAAGGTGCTCCATAAAGTTAAGGTTTACTATTACACATTGCCAGGAATCAGAAAGATTAGGTCAGCATCTGGGCTGTTGGAATTTATATATGGAAATCAAGGGAGCTGACACAGCAAACAAAAGTTATTTAAGGTTTTCAACACAAATGTCAAATTGGTCCAACGCTTTGGAGCCAAAACTTGGAGAGCAGCAGCCTATGCCACAGGCTGGGTAAAAGGTTTAAGTAGTAAGTAAATACACATTGCCAGGTAAGATCAGAATTTCAGAAAATTATACATTTGGACAGTTTGAGAAACACTGACCTAGAACAAAATATTTCTCACTAAGTAGAATTGGGATGTGTCAGTATTAACCAAATGTTTTTTTTTATAGTGTACAAAACAGGGTTTTAAAATTGAATGGAGATTGATCCCACAGCACACATCACAAAGGATAAAACAAACTGTGCTCATCAAAAGTTAAAATAAAGAAAAACAAGGAATGATATCATGAAAACTCTTTGTCAAGAGGCCTGACTTTGAAAATTTGATTTTAAAAAATTGAATGCTAGCAGTGGCAGTAATGGTGAGCCTGGAATATACAAGACAAAGGTCTGATTATAAAGAACAAGAGCCCTTCCCAAAACATTACTCACAAAAAGATTAGTTTACCCTGTTCATCAAATAATTTTGTTTCGTTTAACCTGTTTTCTCTTCTCACAATCTTTTAATTTGCAGCAGATATGCCGGTAGAGTTATTCAATAACCTGCATGTTATTTCTTAATGAGGAATCCTTGTCATAAATTTTGATTGCCTTTGAGATAAAAAATAATTACTATGAGCAAAATTAATAGTACTCCACTGAATTTAAAATGTATTCAAATTTATATATAGGTATTTGTCAGATGGTGGCAAAATGAAACTTTTAAAAATGAATTATTACTATTTTCAATTAAAATTTTATAGCTAAAAGGAGAAGAAAAATGCCCTATAAAACACAAAATTAAACCAACATTTATGGCTGAACACATTTTATACTATACCTTTTGATATCGGTTAATGATTTAAAATATTTAAAATAAATTTGAAAGTCACTTTGTTGATAAGTGCAGACCTCTTTGAACACAAACAATTTACATAAAAAAAGTAAACAGTAAATATCATAAAAATTAATTTACACAATTTTCAAACAAACCAAAAATTTGTGCTTGCACTCAACACTTCCATGCGATCTGGTCAAGCCCTGGAACACCCTGCTCTCATGTCAAATAATTCATCATCAGTTTGGTTTCCTTCAATAATCATGTTACCCATAAACAATAAAACCATTAACAAGTTGGAAAGTCTCTTAAATAAGAAATATAAAAGTAAATTGAACACATTTTCTTTACAGACATAGTTAAACTCATTTTTATAAATAACAGAGCAAAATGATTCAAACCATTGAAAGAAAAGGGAAAATTTGAGGATTCCATCAAACAGGTTCCTCAGGAAATAACAAGTATAGTTAAAGGATTATCAACCTTGATACAAGAAAGGCTTTGAAATGAAAAGTTATTCCAAGAGCAATGAAGCATGTGAAATATCTAAGAAAATATAGGTTCACTTAAATATTGTAATTTGCCTTTTTCTGCACCCTAAGCTTGTGTACAAAAAGAAGACATTTGCAACTTCTTTAACTATGTATCACTGATCTTTTCTTTTTTTTTTACATTGAATAAACAAAGCAAGAGAGGTATCACTTCTGGAACAATGTTTTTCTTCCAGTTTGGCCAAGTTATTTATTAATGTAGTTACATTTTTCACATACAAAATTCACTGAAAGTATTTCAACACTAGTTTTGTAACTAGAGGATATTTAGGTAACATTGACAATAGAGATTATTTGGCAAGGCCAGTGTTCAGGGGACCAAGGGATAAATTGGGGGAGAAAAATGTGTGGAAGGATTGGGGGGGGGGGGGGGGAGAGGGTGGGGGGGGGGTGGGGGGAGAATAACAGCATGCAATTGTAGTATTTTAATTTGAATATACTATATCACTATAACTATTATAATACTGAAAATCATTGGGTTATTGAATTGTAGAATGTTGATTAATTGGTAGTGGGAAATATAGATCCCTTGTCTTTAGTGTAAAGTATGGCAGTGAAATAATATATTATGTGAGTAACTATTTTAGAAAACTTAATCATATTCTTGTTGTCAATTTTAAATGAATGGTAAATAGTAATGAGCTTTTAACTGATTGAATTGAATTCTCATTAGTGAGTGTTAAGCAAACAATTGATCATGATAAAATACAACAATTGAAAAAAAAAAAAAAATTATTATCAAAACTGACAAGATAAACAAAAGATAAATTATCATTAATGTCATTTACTATAATTCAGATCTAAAACTCTCTGTTAGTGTCTCTGCAATTTTAAAAATGTAAATTCAACTATAAATCAAAATTGGACAGCAGTTCTTCACTAAAATGTACATCAGAAATACAGTTGTGCTTCAATAGATTTAAATGAGACACAAAAATGTTGGCTGTAATCACAACCAGTTGCACAGTTAAAGTAAATCAATCCACTTACAACAAACTTATATTTCTACATGCACGATAAGTCTTAAATTTTAATTTGTTCTAACAAACTATTGATATTACTTGGATAAGTTGGGTAATGGGAATATAAGGTAAAGACAGAAAACAATCTGTGTGGTGTGTAAAACAAAACCTATTAGCCACCCCCACCCCCCTTTTATCATTATTCAAAAACTATTTTTTATGTTAGTACTTATCACAGGATTTGGTAATGGGTTAAAGCAAGCATTTTTATTCAAAACAACTCTGTTAATAGGAGAGGCAACACACATTATTTCTAAAAGAGTTACCTATAAAAGCTTGCAAAATTAGTTCAAAAACATCCCACTTAAAAGGCTTCTCTGCAACCCAACATTACAATAAATGCCATGAATTATATCATCTAACAACAAAATTAATATTTTTAATTCACAAAGTCCAATACAAATCAAACGTCAATGCTGGCAGAGTTAATTTGCACATTCATTTTTAAATAAAAATTACACATTTGCTATTTGACAATAATAATAGTCAATATTAAAATGCATTTTTTTTGTTGAAATATCACATGACTTGATTTTATTGCACTGTAAAATTTAAAATAATACCTGGAAAAATCTGTCATGTAAAAGATGTCATCAAAGTGGTTGAGTTCACAATTATATGCTCACACAATGATGTTTTCTGGTGCAGATCATAACTCACTTACCCAAGTAGCACTTTCCTAATTCTATTTTTACACTGACATATTGTAGCACTGCTTCTTCTATTTTTACACTGACATATTTAGACATTTTAACTGATGTGATATGATAAATAAAAAGGGATTTTTCAAATGTATATTGATGTCAGCACATTTTAGTTACAGTTTAATGATTTTTTTTTAAAATAACAGTAACACATTATCCAAGGCATTCTTTTGTGTTTAATGAAAGAACTGTAATAGAAATATGAGATAAAAGTTGGAAGTGGTAAGTTAAATACTGTTTTTCGTTAAGTCAGATCTCCTCATTACAACACAGATTAAGGTTATTAAAAAAAATGTTAAACATAGTAACATAATTCAAGAAGTTAACTTTTTTTTTTTTTAATTTAAAACCTATACTTTAATTTAATATATAGAATATTTGTTAATTTTATTAGATTTTTTTTTTTATTACACTCTTTAGCCAAGAAAAAAAATTAGCATTTTATAAAAATTAATTGTCATTTTAGATTGTATATTCATCTAAATATTAGCACATAAAAAGTAATATTGACAAAAACAAAAGGAATTTTCATTGGAAATTATCATGTATTACTACACTTAAGTATTTCAAATAAAAGTAGATAATGGCTAATCTTTAAATAGGATTATTGGATGTTCCATATTACTGTTACTGTATTTGTTTCTTTAACTTCAATGTTTGCTTTCATCCGAAACCAGCAAGCTCTGTTTTGTATTTATAAGTTATGTATTACTTCATGCATGCAGCTTCATGCAGCAGAGAAATATTTTAGTTTGATTTCTTATTCAGCAGTTCTTCATAATCCCACAATGCCCTCCATTCATTGGCGCCAAGCAGAGCAACCTCAGTTACCCAACCATGGGCATGGAGCTCTCTCGTCAAGGATGATAAACAGCTCTCCACAAAGTGCAGGGAAGTTGCCAGGACAGACTTAATCATATCTGAGTTTTAAACACATTTTAAGAAATGTATTTTCAGTTTGCAATAATTTCAATATAAATATTTAACCTATGGTTCATTTAACAAGGTTTGTTAAAAAATAGGTTCAACTTTTATCACTAATTTATCAATGGTTAAATTTTCTGATATCCTCCAGTACATTTAATTATAATTGTAAAAATTTATGGTCTGCCAGACAATGGCTGCGGCAATAAGTGAACCTCCCATCTACTAAAGTTACTAGATAAAACATGCAATCAAGAAAATTACTTTATAAGAATATCTATTAGAGCTAAACCCTCCCCACCACCCAGTACGCCACCAAAAATTGTTACGCCCATGAACTATATTAAAATTCTAATGCCCCACCCACTTTTGCACATCAGATTTATTACACCAACTATTTACCTATAACAATTGAAAATATTACGCACCAAATGCACTTCATGTATTTTTAAGAATCTCATTCAGCTAGTTAGGAATTTAATTTTGCATGCTACTGAACTCACCATTGTATCATACTTTCTTTCATGCATAGAGAATTATATTGACTGATAGGAACCAACATACCTTCATTATGTGATCCTGAGCTCTGAACTTCATGCATCAATTTCCCCAAGAGTTTTAACTTCGGGCTCAGCTCCTGAATGAGAAAATATAGTACCTCTAATTTTAAGATTTAAAAATTGTCCCCAAAATGTCATTAATAAAATATTCATTTTTATTCAAGAAGATTTTTGTTTCCAAATAGTCCAGCTTCATCTTTAACATGAACAACCCCAATTATATATATATGTTTATATAATGTTAAAGCTTAATATTTTTTAAAAATTGCAAAAATGAAATTAATTGATAGATAGGATTCAAGGATAGAACTAATGGTCGACTATTCAGAAATATTTCATTACCCACTTTTAACCTTTCACGGTTTAACTAACCAGCAGTAACACACAGATAAACAGGATCAGCATAAACACACAGATAAACAGGATCAGCAGTAACACAGAGATAAACAGGATCAGCAGTAAAACACATTTAAACTAGGTCAGAAGTAACAGATAAACCAGGTCAGCAGTAACACACAGATAAACAGGGTCAGCAGTAACACAGATAAACAGGGTCAGCAGTAACACATAGATAACTAACAGCCAGACAATTTTAAACACACAAACAAAAAAAAAAAAAAAAAAAAAACCAAAAAAATTAAAAAAAAAAAAAAAAAAAAAAAAAAAAAAAAAAAAGAGATACCGTTCCCACAATATTCAGTTGTTTTATAATTCATATTGTAATTTCAAATGTTTTGGAATGTATGCAAATATTCTTTAATTAATTAAACATTTTGAAGATTTACCTGTCCTCTCTTATTCTGTTCCAAAATAAAGTTGAGAAGCTCTGCATGAAAGCAGGCCTGGAGCTGGTCAAGCGTGTCAGATGACTGGGACAGCACAATGTCAATATGCTCTAGGAAAACAGAGAACAGAATTTGATAATCTTTTAATGTGTGAACATCAACTTGGAAAATGGCACAGTATATTTATGTGGCCCCCCCTCCTCCTACACCTATTGCTTTCCTGGCAGACACCAATTTTTAAGTGCCTGCATTTCTTATTGAAATAATTCTTGAGATGAAACCCGGCATGGATGGTTGTCCTATGAGAGGGATTCCTAGTTGTCTTTAATGTGCCAGATTGGGGGATGAAACACAGCTGCCAAGGAAGGCAACCGCCAATAGAACATAGTCTTTATCATCAGTCCGAGGAACACATCCCATGCATCAGTTTCAATACCAATAACTGTGTGTTCATTAACAGTGTATCATGGTGCCGTTAGTATTCTCATTACAATATGCACAGAACCAACTGAAAGGAATGACCTTCGCCATTGGGGTGCAAATAAAATGGCCACCGTTTCAAGACTAATGCTCCACTGCAAAGCACACAGGAAAAGGGGGTATATACAAATTACATCTCAACTGTTTTAATCACATAGGAGCTTGAAAGAAAAATGTATAATTAAAAATGTAGATAGTCAAGTCTATTTTAATGGATTTTTTAATGAAGGCCTATTTGACCTATTTATAAACCTAATCTAAAAGAAGGTTTTTTAATTGTAGCTTGATTAATAACTCACTCACTTCTTTGAATGTCTATGCCGAGTATGTAACCTGTCATACTTCTCTCATACACGTCCATCAGTGACGGGAATGAAATACTGCAAAAGAAAGATAACAAATATTTATTCATATCTTCAGCACACTAAACAAGATATCAGCAGAGCAGATTCTTATGATGAAGGTGGCACTGATGGATTACTAGACAGAAACTCATTTTAACAATGATATTTATAACAAAAAAAAATTACTAACTTACAGCCTCGGACAACCTTGTTCTCAGTTTTTAACTAACCTCCTGGTCAAATCTCCCAAAGAGACCCCAAGCCTAATAGACAGAGGACGTCTCACAGCTGCAGATCAAATATAAACCCCAATGAGGTTACACAATTGAAATGTGTACATTTTTTTAATTTTAAATGTGCTGTGGCAGAAATATGGGGATATCAATTCGGGAGAAGGGAAGACCAAGACATTTTAGATGAAAATAAAATACATTTGGCTCAAATATTTCTTGCAAAAATGTATACATGTTTATAAATCATCAAGTTGTAAACAGATACATTGCAGTGTTTCTCATGCCATTTAAACTTTCTTAGACAGCCAAATAAAAAATAATTATGAGATGATAAACAAGGTTTTAAATCAACTTATCGTTAAACGTTTAACTGTTGTTTTTTCTTTTGAAAGAACATCTTACGAAACAAAACTGGTTCCATGTAATTAACTGTTTTCACATCCAGAACCTCCTCCTTAGTCAGGTAGTGCCTTGTGATGAAGTGGAGTCTTGCTTGGCTGATGGTCTCCATACAAACCGATGTCACCGCCTTGTAGTTGGCAAACAGGTGCAACGTTGTGAACACCAGGAACAGGGACCAAATTATTCTGGATGTAATAAAATAAACAATAAGCTAACAACATTAAATGAATAGTTGCTTAGGTGAAAGTAGAAGCCTAAAAGAAATTATCATGTTGTCTGCGGTTTTGTGTTCTACTCCCAGAATTTTGTTAATTCATGACTTTTTATTTATTCATGAATTGTTTTTAATTCTCTTCTGGTTGTTAATTCATATTATATACAGACATAATTGAGCTGAGATTTTAAATTATTGAAACACACAAGCTTACAGACTTTAATGTATTATTGTTGCCAGTAAATTATTGAAGCTGCCCAGATTTTTTTGAGGTGGGATTACTGTGCATTTAATTTTGTTAAACAGGAAATATATACAGTGAACCGAGTAGCCCCGGTGTAAGTGCTGTGTCTTCCAATGTATGTGCTGACATAAAGATGACGATCTTATTTAAATGGATAGACAAGAAGATTAAGAGTGTCAGTGACTGCAGTGGTTAGTCTTACAAAATCCAGTTTTTTACAAATATTGGTTTCAGTTTGGGGTACCCTATCTGTAAGCCATATTCTTTAGTTGTGTTGGAGCTTTGTAATAAAAAGCTAAAAATGATGTGACTGTGATGATAAGCTTTAACTTACGCTTGACTGGTGCTGACTAATGGAACCAAGATGAGACTACAAATGAGGGCAGCCAGGTTCACCAGTGTCTCCTGAAATAGATTACAAGTGTAACATTGGCAGATACAGATGAGTATAGAATAGTTCATTTAAAAATATACTTCAAGTACAGAAGAATTTTTTTTTTTTAAGATTATATATTTGTTTGCTTAACTTCAGTTCAGATTTAACCTAGACCATGGAGAAAAGTAACATCTCTTTTGTTCAACTAAACTCTAACCTTATTATTTATTGGTAACCAAAACAACTCCTGGTCCTAATGTTTTATTTATTGCAGGATTATATTTTGTTCAACATTTACTTTGTTCATGACAACACAGACAAAGCTGAATTTAAACAAAATTATCGATGCTCAGAAATGAAGTAATATTCACACACAAAAAAATGTGTAAATGTCAAAATTTGCATTAAAATGATTGGATAGAGAAAGAAACAAACCTGACTTCCATCTTTAGCCGAAACATCTGCCATATTGTTGCGGCGAGCCTGATGCTGTGTCAATGAAGCCCTCGTCGCTCCACCTGCCACTCCAACAATGCTCTTCAATATAAAATGTAGGGTTTCTTTCAACACATCATAAGAAAATAGAACATTTGTTACATAGGTTCATGTAAATAATGGCAAATGGTCTTGGGAAGGTTTTGTACATTAATCTTGTTAAAAACAGCAACTTTCTCAAAAATTAATATTAAAAAGTTGAATGCACTAATTTATCACACCATATAAAACCAGATACCAACCCTGCAAATGCCAGAAACACACACAACAATGGTGAAATAACTGCCAAATGATGGAGCCAAAATGTCCAAAAATATGGCAGTGTCATTAAGTAGGTCTGCAAATAACCTAAACAAAATGAAACAACCGCATTAAAAAAATGTCGACTCATCTCGAGACTCTTCCTTGTCTAAATTAGAGAGAATTTATATTGTATTAGACTTATGTTTTCTTAAAACTGGACGTGATTAACCTCACCCAGCTTCCCCACTCCCCCACTCCGTTTTTTAATACACAAAAGGTGATGGACTTTTGAACAATTTTGAACAAATATTATGCATGGACAATCGAGAGAATATTATACCATTTAACATTCCCCCCCACACAAATTAATATAAAATTTGTACATTATATCCATCTAGCACTAATATCTGATTAAAAAATACTTTCTTCTTCTTCTATATATTAAGGGCCCACGATCAAAGTATTGATCATTCTGGCTCCTGTAGGCCCCAAAAAATTGATCAACATTTGTAATAATGATTTTCTAAAAATAATATTTCCTTTACCTCCATCTTTTAGCATCACAGTCTAGTCCAGTACTGAAAATAACAAAATAAAAAGTGATATAAAAAAAAAAATTCATTTCCTAAAATGGCATTCCATCAAAACTGATGAAAGTAATTTCAATCTAATATCCTAATATGTCATTTGGACAAAGCCTTCCTGATGCTACAGTGTGTTAAGACGAAAGTTAACATAATAATATTTCAAAGCAATTTCCAAGTCATAATTAACTATTAACTTCATTTTGTAAATAAACTTGTTTCCATATCTGATAATATTGAAATCTAATAATTAAGTGGTATATTTAAAAAAAAAAAAAATCAACTTTTGAAAATGCTTTATGTGTAACTCATGTTATGTTACTCTATAAGCTAGATTACTCACCCTTTTGCCCATGCAAACAATATACGTCCTAACATTCCAGCTCCATCTAAAATAACAATATTAACAGACACACTTAGCACCAGTCAGCTTAAATGTAATGAAACAGATATGCACATACGACTAAACCTGTCGCCATAAACAAATAAAGCTTTTTTGTTTTTTAGGGAAATAGGAGACTGATAATTATGAAGAGAGAAAATGTAATGCTTTTTGAAAGAAACATGTAGCCATGTAATAGTTACCCCAACAACAGTTGCCGTAATGGTAAATCAGACAAAATGAATAGTCATGTTAAATACCTTTCAATAGCCATGTAATAGTTGCACCCATAACAGTTGCTGTTCCATCTCCAACGCCCACACCCTTCAACACAGCATGTGCCGCAAGGGTTCCTGTTATACTGCTAGCAAAAGCCTAACAGTAAAATATATTATATAAGGAAATATTACATCATAGATAGACTACCTACATTTTTAATAATGTGATCAAATGGAATCTGGTAGGATTTAATACTGCTAATGATTTATAATGAAGTTAAAAAAATCAAGATTATCTTTCAAGTTCAACAATCTTTAAGAACTTCGGTTTCGATTTTCAAATAATTGGATGCACACAAGTTCATAAGTAATAAAATATATAACTCATCCCAAGAAGCAGAGACTTTCATATCAAATTAACAAACTACATTTTCTTTAGAGCAAACTTTGACAAACATGTTAAAAAATGACTATAAAAATAGCATCAATGAGATCCGGTGAAGTGTTTATTTATGAATGAATGAAAGTAGCATTTTAACATTATAACACACCTGTATTGTGTCCCAGATCTGATAAGTGAGATAATCACTGCTGACACTGTCTGGATATCCTTGTGGAAGGAAAATGCTCTGTACAAAATAAAATGTGAAACTATTAGGAAGGTAATTTTTTGTGTAAACAGACTAATTTTTTTTTGAAAATTGTGATTTCAAAATTAATTTCTTTTTTTCAAGAAACTGTAATTTTTAAAATAACTTTAACAATGTTAGATCTAGTCTGATCATTAACTTGAAAACATTAAAAAAAAAAAAAACAATGAAAATAATACAAATATTTCCAGGTTTTAACTAACACTGAATAGATGAGAAAGTGAACTGTGACGGGCAGATGAATCAATTTTCTTTAAAATTCCATCTTCATCCTTTAAAAAGTAATCATGTTTTTTTTCTGTTGATCCATAACGTTCTTGACAGACAAGTCTCCCTGGTTCCACACCTTTCACATTTGCTATGTCTTCCATCGTCTGAGAAATATGTATTACAACTGATCACTTATAGTCTGCATTTATATTGTATTTGTGTAAGTGAATCCATTTTAATAGTAGGCCTACCTACATTCAGTAATTATAATAACAATGTCAGTGTTATGGCATGTGTGTAGGCTTAATTTTAGTGTTGTGGCCATCACCACTAACCTCCCCTTTGGTTTATTTTGATCTTGACATCACTGTATAACTCCTTTTACCCCCCTCCCCACCCCCCTCCTTTTAATGTGAAAATATTGTTAATGTTCGAATACATTCTATTTGTTCTAAAAAATGCTTTCAGCTGACACAATTCCTAGAATTTCTTTTCTAGAGACTAGGGGGTTCTGATTTGATCATTATATATAGGCCGGCAGCTTTTCTGGCCAAGAGATTATTGCTAATTTTCAAAGACATCTAAGAGACGTTTTATACTTGCAAGATTGTACTCTTTATGTGTGTAAATTAATATTTATATTTTTCAAGGCTTGTACCTAGCTGTGGTTCTCAAGCTTCCTAATGCTGCGACCTTTTAAAACAGTTCCTCATGTTGGGTGATCCCCAACCATAAAATTATTTTCGTTGCTACTACACAAATATGTGTTTTGATGGTCTTAGGTGACCCCTGTGTAAGGGTTGTCGACCCCCAAGGGGGTGCAACCCACAGGTTGAGAACCGCTGCTGTAAGTTGGTTAAGTTTTTTTCTTCTGTATTTTGAATTTGTATTTTTATAGAAATTTAATAGTATAATTAAATTGAACTTTGATAGTATCACTAGCTTTGGTATCATTTTCTTCGTACACTGGTTTGCAGTCCATTGTTACATATTGACAATATATTAATGAGCCAAATCTTAACACAGATTAAATTTTCAAAACCAAATATAACAGCACTGAGAGGCAGTAATTGCAATTTAGGATTTATCTCATTTTTAATGCATTCTTTTAATTAGCCTTGTATTGGTTGGATTTAACTTAAGATTAAGAGTCCTTTATTCTCCGCCTCTGAATAACTTGTAAGCCTAAAATTTAGTTATAAGTTACTTAGTTTTTACATTATAATTACATTATTATTACACTATTTGAGGTGGTGGAGGATTGATATGAAAATGTTGTTTAATGGCAGTTTAGTTTATTATAAATTATGTCCAGTAACAAACCAGGGTAAATAGTGACACTGACACTCTCACATAAGGGCATTAATTTACTCAATTTCATTTACTGACCACTGAGTCACCACTGCCACTTGACTTAGCCTAGACCACTAGTACTTCAACTACTAGTGTATATATTAAATATTAAATAAATTTAATTAAGTGACTGTTGACTGCGAGTCTTAGTCGTGAGTGTCAGTCACTAAATGTATCTTAAGTCTAAATTAAGACTTAAATTTAAAGAATCTTGTCTTTTACTATTAAGTCTTACTTCAGACAGTTAAGATCACTTAAGACTTAATTAATAAATTAAAAGTCTAAGTTAATATACCCGTACTTCAGTAAATTCAGTACCGTGATCATATGATTAAAGTAAAATCTTAGTTTTGCTACCCTCTCTTAAACTAGTTACTCCAATATGCGACCGGAAAAAATTCACTGATGCTTTGTAATATATAAACGACGTCTTTTAAACGACACCCTCTAAAACGCGATTTGCGACCTTCAAATAATGCAATTTTAAGACCTAGCACCTGAACAAGTCAGATTCTAAAGCAATACTATATATGCACTTGAGGAAAACAGTTTCGTTTACAATTTTAAACGTTAGACGATGACTAAAGGAGCCAGTAGCTAGGAAATAGTGAAGGGGAAATAACTCTGGGACCTATCAACTTGGACCTTGCCGACACCATGTCTGGTGTTCAAAGTAAAAGAACATCAGAACATGCATGGGTGGATCATACAAAAAAACCCAGAAATAACAGCTTTCTTTCAACCAAATAACTATTCAATGATTGAATATAAATAATTACAACAATATTAATGCGCTTATCTTATAGGCTTTACATAAATGGTTATAACTCTAAGCATGTACTCAGCACTTACACAACCACTTAAAACAACTACCATGCCAGCATTGATTTCTTTTTGGAATAAATGAGGAACAGGAAGATAGTGACTGAGACTGTATTAGTATTGATTGTGAGCAGCATTTATATTTCTCAACGAAAGATGGTAGCTATGGCCTATACTAGCCTATACTTTTTTTTACTTGTTTACTCAATCTCAATTTACTAAATGTCGTTTTGCGAAAATGTCCTACCTCTTTTTTAAGACCCCCTCCAATTTACAAACTCGTTTTAATGGCAATTTAAATCTGAGGTTTTACTGTATTTGTATAATATAATGTATACCTTTATTATATATTGGCCTCTAATTTAAATTTCAAAGAACGTTATTGGCTGGCTTTGCTTACATTTTCCAATTTAAAAAATGATACCCAATCTAATCACTAATACTAATGATTCGGAATAATGATCTGATAATGTTGAGCTATGATTAGGATAAGAATTCACTCAATCTCTACTCTACTCTGACTATATAGTCTCTAGTTCTATACTGACTATGACTATACTTATACACTTTCAGAGTTGACTATGACTATGATACATAATCCAGGCCCATGGTCATTATTATTTCATGGTGAATGATGGTGCTGGCAATTTCATTCAATTATAAATTCAAATGCTGAAAATACTAAATTAATAATACTAATAATATGACTATGTAATGACTATACTGTCACTATACTATGGTCCTATGGTCCAGTTCAGTATCAGTATGATGGTATATGGGCATATGGCATATGATCAATGATGGGCATGGGCCATGGACGTGGGTGATCAGCCCTACTCATAAGCTCAGAACAGAAGTTCACTTAGACTTAGATTAGTTACTTTTACCACTTTTAAAAAAGTGGTAAAATTTCAATATTCATGATCTAATAAACAAGATGATTTTATCTTATTTAAAATAATATTCAAGATTCAATATTAAATCAGAATAAATAATGCTTAGCTTAACAAATTACAAAACGTACTTTGTTTTTTAATCTCTTGCACAGGAAGCAAGTAGTAAGTAGGGCTGCCACTCCAGGGCTGCCACTCACTTTTTTCAAATTTCCCAAGATTTGGTGAACAAATTTCCCAAGATTTCCCAAGATCATACAAATATATAAGAGTTTTTTTTTTTTAAAGGGGGGTTTTCTATGTAATTAATGTAATAATAGATTGAATCAATGCCCCTGAAAAACATGGTATATTAATGGACTGAAATTTATTGAAAAAGACATTTAAAACATGTTTATCACATTTAAAAAAAAAACAATTTGTTTTTAAAAAAATAATTTATAATCCAAAATATCAATACCCACTGGAGTTAGGCTACTAAATATTACCTCCGAATTCTCTGATAAAAATATAATCTACAATACATGTGTAATAGAAGTCACTTGGAAAAAAAAAGCATACAAGGCTAATCAACACAGAATTCCTTTTACAAAGGCAAAAGTTTCTTCATCAAAAAATGATTTTTTATTATTGTAAATCTGTTGATTACAAGTGGG